CGGAAGTCGCCGTCACCGGACGCCGGTTGAGCGGTGGAAGCGATGGAGGAGAGGAGAGTGAAGGGGAAGAAGGAAGGTATGCGTATGAGGTTTTTGAGGGTAAAGTGGTAAAAAGTTTCTTGTTCTACTTAGTTCCATGGGTAAAGGGTGGACAACCTTGTCCCATCCTTGTTCTAGTTTGTTCTAGTTAGTCCCACATAAAACCACGCCAAACATAGGACAATTGTGTTCTGTCCTGTCCTGTCCCACCCTGTCCAACGTACCAAACGCACCCTAATAGAATAGCTATAATGTTTGTCCCTGTAGTTTGTTTAGAATTGCAACTTTAGTCCTTGTATTTTTGAAATTACAGTTTTCAACAAACTACTGGACGAAAATAGCAATTTTAACAAATCACAGGGACTAAAAACGCAATTTACTCTTATTTTTATATAAATATATTCTGGGTACAAACAGAAAGCTATCAAATTCTTGACATGCAGCCCCAATTTATAAGAAGTTTCTCAACGATTTGAAGTTAGATTCAATACAGAATTCAGTTTTCTAAGTTCAAAATTTCGAGGATTTCACGAAAATTCTGCAGAGTAATGGGTGATGAAAGATCACCTAATATCAGAGATAGAGATCGAGAGCTGCTTCTACCGATTGCCAACACCCCTGATGACGAACAACTTTCTCCAAAACCCTTATCCTCTGCAATTTCCTTCTCTCAACACGCCGGCCGTGAGGTTTCTCTTTCTATAATTTTATAATTTTGTATGTATTTTGTTCGTTTAATTGCTTCTATTTGGTTAGTTATTGATCCTGATTGAGTTTTGATCAGGGTTTTTATACGATAGTAATCGTTATATGCTTTTAGGTTTAGTAGCTGGCTTGATTTATCTAATTGATTTCAGCTATTGAAACAAAAAATTGAGTATTGACTAGGGCTTTAGATGTAGGGTTTATGAGGACTGACCATTTCTGGATTGAATCAATTGAATATGTTTACAATCAATCTGGACTTGGTGAGCAGGAAATTATGTGTAAGACGGTTCACAATGTTCATTAGTTTGGGGTTTCTTTAGAACTTTTATCAGTTTCATCTTGTTGCGTTGATAAAGAAATTGATGCATCTGAATTGTGGCAATCTGCTACATTATAGACCCCAGAAAAAGGAAAAGAACAACCCGATTGGATCGGGTAGCGATGGTTGTTTGATGAATTTTTATTTATTCATATTGCATTATTGAGTCATGATGAGGGTTTTAGATGGAGGTGTTTTTTCGTGTGGATTAAGTTAAAATCTCTGAGGTGTGATGTTTCTTGGGTTGAATTTGGATTTTGCATTATGAACTTTAGGGTTCTTTTTTATTAACCTGGATATCCAACCCGCTATGCGAGCCGACTAATCCCAGGGCGACCACCTGCTTTGCAGATAGCCCGGAGTCACCGCATTTGAACCTCCGTGACCACAAGGGGATTTTTATTCCTCCTTGGATTTGAACCTGGGACCTCCTGGTACTTTTGACCTTGGGAGCCAAGCTCAAACCAATCAGGCACCACCCTTGTGGTTACTTTAGGGTTTTCTTTCCGCGTATGTGTAGAGCTATAGATGTACGATTTCTTTGTCCGCATCAGTCACCTGAAGATTGTGGCATCTTATAAAAATGTGGGGTCTGTTCTGCATTCATTTTATCTTGTACATTTTGTGTTAATGTAACTCGTTGCTAACATGTTTTGTGCACGTAATTTTTTCGTGTAGACTTTCTCGAAAGTTCTTAGGAGTTGGGCTTCTAAAAAGTTCATGACCGGATGGTATGCGAATTTTTCTTCATATGCTATGTTAACTAATTGATAAACTACTTGTTGGCTCATAAGCTAGCTTAGTATTAGCTGAAAAACTAATTGTTGACTAATAAACTAGTTTTTAGCAGATAACATTTGGTAAAAGCTAGTTGATAAGCTAGATGACAATGTAAAATGACTTAAAAGGACATGTTGAAAAATTACTCAATTGTGACATAAGGGGCTTAATTCCAAGAAAAAAAGTGGAAAAAAACCCTATCCTTATTGGAAAGCTAGCTTTTGGCTAACCAAATGAGGCATTTTCAATAAGCTCAAAGAATAAGCTGGCTTATGGCTTCCAAACAAGGCCATAATCTTTGTACTTTGCATAATCTGGATATCGATACTTGTAGGTTCATGTTGTTGATTATCTTTTGCAGTGTCATCCTATTACCATTAGCTATTACTTTCTACATAACATGGTGGTTTATACATTTTGTGGATGGTTTTTTCTCTCCTATCTATGCTCAACTCGGCATAAATATATTTGGTAAGCATATGCTAATATCATCTTTCTACATTCATATGTTTGGCTTTAAATAATCTCGTCCCTAATCAACCATAAAGTGAACTAATCTCGCAAACTAGTTTCATTTCCAATTATAGTTTTGCATAGTTGTACCCGTATATATTTTTCATTGATATTACGTTCTCCAACTCATCTGTTAGGCCTTGGGTTTGTAACTTCTGTGACGGTCATATTTGTGGTCGGGATCTTCATGTCATCATGGTTGGGTGCATCTGTTTTGAGCCTTGGAGAATGGTTCATCAAACGCATGCCATTTGTTCGTCATATCTATGATGCTTCCAAGCAGATTAGCTCTGCCATATCTCCAGGTTTTTTATTTCAGATATATATTATCTATATACAGCAAAACTCACACACACTGTTGACCTTTGGTGAGGCTTGAACCTTTGACCTTTTGGGAAGCTGGGCTCTACCAGTGATGCGTGTACCGCTGGGCCAATGACCATTTGGTAAACCATTATTTGACCAAATAATCCGAAAATTTATTTATTTTATCTAAAATGCAGATCAAAAAACTCAAGCCTTTAAGGAAGTTGCCATTATCAAGCATCCTCGTGTTGGTGAATATGCATTTGGGTTCATCACTTCATCTGTCGTTCTCCAGGTGCGTTTTTAACTCGAGTAATTCTTTTTCTTTAGTAGATATTTATATAAGCGTTGGTTTGTTGGTTATAAACAGAGTTATTCAGGGGAGGAAGAGCTATATTCGGTTTATGTCCCAACCAATCATCTTTACATTGGTGATATATTCTTGGTCAACTCGAAAGACATTATCAGACCAAACTTATCTGTTCGCGAAGGAATTGGTCAGTTTTATGATCTCTTTTCTAAGTATATAATATTTTATATACGACAAATACTCACGCACACTCCTCACCTTTGGGTAGGCTTGAACCTATGACCTCCAGGTTCGAGGAAAAGCCCAGAAAAACCCAATGGACTTTTATATTTTGGCGATTAAGTAAATCTTTGCACTGCTGAAACCAAACAAAATGGTCTTTTTTACCTATAAAAATGACCGGAACTGGTTATTATGGTAAACTTCAATATGAAAATTCCCAAAAAAAGAAAAAAACAAGCAGACTTTCATATTTTGAGCAATTAAGTTATGTAATAATGATTTTTAGCACAATAACCAGTTCTGGTCATTTTTTTTGTAAGAGGCTGTTTGGCAATTGCTGAATGGTTTGATGCAGAATGATTAAGAGGCTCTCATGATATAGTGCAAAATGAAATATAATTGTTTGGTAATTGTGTACAATGGAATTAGGGCTCTTAATGGTTAAGGGAGATCCAGGATACAAAAAATCATTCAGAGGGTTTTAGAACCATTAACGATTCAGAGTTTGCTTCTTAATGGAACTATTAAGAGGTAAATAAACAACCCCCAAGTTAGAAAGACCATTTTGTTCGATTATGCTAGGCCCTACCAATAACCTAGGTACTGGTACGGTAGTTATAATCCCGTTTTTGGCTATTGCATAACCTCATTTAGTCATTTTATGGAAATCGGGCCTTGACATTTCAGTTTTTTTCAAGTCTTTTTAAACTTATGTTAGATTCGTTTTATTTTTGGTGCAGAAATTGTGGTATCCGGGGGAATGTCGATGCCACAAAAGCTAACGACGTTGGATTCGGGCATCAACATGTATGGACCTCATAATAGAAACTAAGAAGTTGTTTGGTAGATGCCGAATGATTTGGTGCATAACGGATAAGGAATATGTAAATATATTATTAGGGTTAAGTTATCCTCCTGTCACACTGCATCCAGCCATAGTTGTTAAGCTGCTGGTATGGTAAATTCTATTTATATTTTAATAAGAAAAAGCAATGCAGTTAAGTCACAATACAAACCCTTGTATTAATTCTTTAACTACTACAAATGTATCCTTTTTAACCATTTAGTACATTTAAGCTCAAAATATGTGACAATTCATGTAATACTGGTGGTGTATCCGCGTAATGCGGCGAGAGCTGTGAATTTTAACAATTTTGAAGTTTTACTGGTTTTATTAGAGAAGATTTAACGATGATATAAGTTACACTCGGTCTTTACATATTAATACAATTTGAATAAATAAGAGTTATGGTTTCAATTACAGTTTATCGATGAAAAAAATTAAATGACAGTTTAAAATCCAATATATTTAAAATCCAACATATTTAAACGACTCTGCAAATGTGTTCGATTTACACAAAGAGCAAAGAATCAAGAGATCGAGACCGAGACCGAGAGTTCTAGAGCAATTGAATGAGAGATGAATGAGAAAACTTTTAATAATTCATGGTGAATATCAATTTGAATCTCACATTGGGGGATGAGGAGAAGACATAAAGGTATGGAAGGGTGAAGACATGAGTGAAAGGTGCCAAAAGTATCTTGGGAACATGAAAAGAAAATGTAATAATATGCATCGGTAGATTAAGAGATTTTAAGACTGAATGCATAAAGTAGTAGTACTTAATGCATTAAATGTTGTTTTTAAGATTTTATGCATAAATGTATAATACTTTGTGCATTAAAAATTGTTTTTAAGACTTTTGATAAATTTGATTTATAAGATAGTATAGATTAGGGTTTGACTTGTTACAGTACCAAATTTTTCAATCAATTATAACTGGTACATAAAATTTTATATTGTATACCAACCAACTGTATTAGGTACCAACATTCTTCGTATGGTACATGTTGGTACTAGTTTTATACCAACTTCAAGACTTGCCATTTCGTTTAAATTTTGGGTGGCATTTTTGAGTTTCCACGTAACCGATATGACCATTAAGGGTTTTTAATTGAAATGAACAAAACTTATGAATATTCAAATGTTCAAACAAAATACTTGAAGTTACAAAACGTTTAATATTGGATACATACAAAATATAAAAACTAATAAGTAATTAAATAAGTCGAAACATGGTACGTGACTTCCTACCATGTTACCAAGTTCGATATTTGGTACAGTAATAACAACTGATTGTTACTGATACCAATTTAAATGGTACAGTTGATATACATATTGGGTGTGATCTTGATGATTATTCATTCAAGATAATAGGTTCAACGAGTCTTCTATTCTTACCTTTGTTTTAAGTATATAATATTCATATACGGTAAATAAAACAAATAAACTTACACACCCTCCTCACATTTGGTGAGGTTTGAACCATTGACTTCTTAGGAGGCCAATGACTCACATACCATTAGGCCAAAGACCCTTTAGTATTCTATTCTTACCTTAGTATCTTATTGGGGACACATTTTTCAGTTAACTTGACATATGTTTTTAGTTTAATCAAATACAGTCTGTGGTCTATCATGTATCAGCCATATCTCAATCAAGTTCTCGTGCTTTTAATTAGTCGTCAATTGGATAGACTTTATATTGTTAATGTAGCTTTGAAAGAGTAATCGACTTAGGTTTTCATCACGGATTAGGTCTATGGCCATTAAAAAGGTTTTATTAAGTAGAGACATGTATCTCTCACATAAGGACAATTTAGTCTTTTTATACTTTGCTCCTTTTATAAGGAAAAAAAATTAGAGGGGCCCAGTTTTCTATTTGATCGTCGTCACCATCATCACTCTCCACCACAATTGTCAAAGAACAAAAAAGTATTCGGGAGATAGTGGAATAGCTAGACACGAACTCAAAGACGACACTGAACTCACGTAATATTTATATACGGTAAATACAACGAATAAACTCACATACCTTCCTCACATTTAGTGAGGTTTGAACCCCTGACCTCCTAGGAGGTCAAAGACTACAATATCGTTAGACCAAAGGCCCTTTAGTGCCATGATCAAAGTATCTTCTTGTTCTTCTTTTCACAATTCGACTAGCAGAAGACCAACGAGATCATTGATATTGAAAGAAAATGGAAATTCAATTCATTATCTTTTTGTCTAGTAAAAAAACCCTAACCGACTGAGATTCCTTGCACTCCATCCTCAAACATTGAACCGAGTTTGTTTTGCTTTGACACGATGAGAGCTAATTGAGTAGTTAAGCGAGTCATACGAGTTGCGATGTCAATCTTGTTGTCTTGAGTCATAAACCAACTGAGATTGTCTTACGATGCATAATTTTTGGTGTTCATCGAGTTCCGAAAAGAAAAAAAGGAAGTTAAATGAGAGAGAGAACAATAGTGTTTGGCCTCGGTTGTTTGGTCGGGTTCTGAATGAAGTTTGGATGAAACTACCTCGTTGTTGTTTGGTTGGACTTTTGAACGATAGAGGTTAATCAACGTGTTCGTTGATGGCTGAACGAGAAGGAGGAATTAGTGTTTGACATCTTTAGAGAAAAAGTAAGAGCAGAATTGGGGTTCGATCTATTTGGAGCAGATCAAATGAGTTTTTTTTTAATGTAAATGATGAAAAGACAAAACTGTCCCTCATGTTAGGGGAATGTGAGGCTTTAACGAAGCCCAAACAAACGACATTAAGCTTAGGGACCAGCAATGCTATCAAAAGTAACAGTTAGGTACCATCAATGTATCTGCTCAATCGAAAATTTAGGAAAGTACAAGAAACAATAATGTAATTCACTCTTAAATTTGACCAAAATTTTTTAACTGTTTTTCAAAAAAGAGGGTGTTGCTAAAATAAATTTTTTGTTATTTTAAAATCTAAAAACAAAGTTTAATTTTGACATATATACATGTACATATACATATACATATACATATACATATACATATACATATACATATACATATACATATACATATACATATACATAATTGTATGAAAATTATGGACGAGTCTCTTGCATTAACCTTTTATGGATAACATCCATGTGGTTTTATTTTCATTACAGATCAAGTCTTTTTTTTTTTTTTTCCTAAACCTCGTTAAACATTAAGTTATGACGGGCCTTCTATATTGTCGCCCCCTTCCCTGTTCGCACAGACATCTTCCTCCCTTTACATCACCGCCCCTCATCCTCATTCCTGTTCCCCTGTCATCTCTTCCCCATTTGCTTTTGTGCTTCGGTCGTTTCTTCCCCGCCTGCTTCAATTCTTCGTCTCTTTCCCATTTGCTTATGTTTCTCATCTCCACCTCAACCTTGCAATTGCTCCAACGTTCCACCATAATACCACCGATCATTCCTTCCTTCTGCAACTCATCTCGTCCCCTTCTCCCTGCACCAACAAAACACCCCTTCCTATATAGCGATTTGGAGTTGGATTACCTTTATTATACTGTTGTGTGACTATCTACCATCTATGATCAAACATACACTAGACACACTAAAAAGAGTTACTATAACATTCAAACACATTAGTCTTGTATCTGAAAAATCTAATATGCATAAGTTTAACCAACATAAAACGACTTACTATGGATGATCTGGAAATCGAAATGGATTGAGTTTGAGGTAGGGAAGAAGATGATGACCGCGAGACGATAGTGTGTTGAACCGATTGTTACTTTGATTGCAGTGGGTTGAGGGAGTGAGGAAGGGATGATGTCGAAGACGGATAGATAGCTAGAAATGCAAAAGGGAAATGAGAAGCCGAATAAAGGGGAGTGGTCGGAGAAGGGGGGAGTTTAATTTCAGTTATTTCTTAAATGACAAAAATAACCTTTTTTATCAAATAAAAGGGTAAAATGACAAAAATGCCCCTACGTAAGAGTCAAATATGAGGTTTAACTAAGTTAAAGCAAGAGAATTCGTAACAAAAACGAAACCATAAAATTGTTCCCAAAAATATTAGTCAAAATATCCCAATTTGTAATTTTCATACAATTACAAGGACTAAATCTGTAATTTACATAAACATAAAAAAGACTTGACCGAAACCCTAGCCTCCACGTGGCTCTCTATAAATACACACCCCCAGTACCACAAACTTCATCGCCCGCCTCCACCACGACCACTCGATCGATTTAGGGTTTTTTCTGCTCCTTTCTCAAGGAATACGGTGGCCAATGGCGTTTGTCGGCGTGTTGGAGGTTCCCTCACTTCACCGTCGATAAGCGTATTCCAAATTTCACATTTCTGTTTTTGAAATCGTTTTTATCATCGATTAATCTATGGTTTTTGATGAGCGTTTTTTGATTGATCTGTTTGGCCGATGATTAAATTCAAAATAAAAGACAAGCATATGTCTGAATCATACTATGTTGTCAAATCTAATCTTCTCTATGAGGCCATTACTGTGTTTTGATCCTCATTTTGATTTTGAGCTTCGATCTAATAATTACGGCTTTGTTAATGTCGTGTGGTGTGGATTTTGATTAGAATCGAGAGGTTCAAATGATGATTATTTGCATAGTTCAGATGATAATAATCTTATGTGATTATAAATCTATTTTTAGTCTTTCGCTCCTATCTGATGAACTCTCGATTGATTATTCTAATCGTCATGTTTTGATCTTGTTTTTTTCGATCTGTTTTTAGAAATTATGTGATGTAAAGAAACGGGACAGTGATGACATCATGTGATAAGGTCTCGTTCGTCGTAATGGTGAGCTTCTTCTCACCTTGCCGACCACCCTGTTATATCACCACCCATAAACTGAGTCCCCATCTCAAACATACATATAAACTGTACTTCGTATCAAATTAATTGGTATCAACTATTAATTGGTACAAGTTACTTAATAATGTCAGTCAAAATTTTAACAAAACAGCAAGTTCTTATTCATGTTACTTGAAATTGTTCCAAAAATCAATACCAAAATACATCAATTGTAAGAAGTTGATATCAATTAAGTTGTTACCAAGTTATGTACATGATATTTAAGTGTTTCTTTTTTTACTATAGCATATCTACCCCTAATTGATATAATATGTTGCTTTGTTACTATGTTACTGGATAATTATACATTTTGGGGTGGTTTGGTTCTTTTTTGTTAAGATTTGTCCGAATATAGCTGCTGCTTTTATTGATATAGTTGTCTGTATATTAACAAATAAATTGTTGTTCGGTTATTGTGTTGAATAAATAAACAGTTTGAATGTTGGAAATGACCATTTCATCTCCAACCTATATTAAACACTGTAAAAACGTTTGTTTGATAAAATGTTAATATTTGATTTTGGATGGTTAAAAATATCAATTCAAAGTTTTTTAAAATAAAAACAATTTACCAAGTCATCAAATTCATTCTAAAAAATATTGAACCGTAATATTTTCTCAAAACTAGAATCTTTAAATTAAAATAAAGTATCAAATTTTTAATTGTTGGTGGGTTTTTAGATGTTATTTACTAAGGGGTCGTTTACCAAACATTTATTCATAAAGTGTTTACCGGTAAAATTTAACATTATTATTTACTTGTTAAGATTTTAGTTTATCAAAACGACATTTTCACCCGATAAACGCTTATCGTGTTAAGAGTCATCGTCCTCACTTGTTGGGTAAGACTCATGGTCCTTGTTTCATTCTTACCGGGTAAGATTCTTGATCTTTATCATATTCATACGGTGAGGTAATGTGACTTAATAATTGATTTTCCGGGTAAGTGTTTGGTAAACGGTCTCTAGTCATTCCAGAAAGCCACCCTGCCATAAAAGCCATTGAAAACTATCGGTTCATCACCCAACTCATTACAGGTTATCTCGTGAGAAAGAGAGGGAAAAGAAGAGGGGGAAGAGAATGAAGATGATGATGGTTGATCGGCGATGGAAGCTCTGATGAGGCAAGGAGGTGCTATTTTAAGTAGAGCTTTAAGGCAGTGTTTGGTACGCAAACTGGATGAGACAGGACGGAACGGGACGGGACAGCACTAATCGTTTGTCGTATGTTTGGTACGATTAAGACAAGACATGACAAAACTATTAAAATGACCATATTACCTTTAAATGTTGTTCAATGTTATTTTATATCATTTAATGATTGTAAAATGACAACAAATCAATCAAAATATTGTCATTTTAATCTTAGTCCCGTGTCTTTCCACCATTTTTGGTGGAACAAGAAATATTAAGGGGGTGTTTGGGATTGTTTATTAAAACAACTTATGCTTTTTTGTAAAAGTGCTTATTAACTTATGTGGTATCAAACTGGAGTTTTGTAAAAAGTGTTTGGATTAGCTTATAGCGGTACCAAAAAACAATAAGTTGATAAGTTGTTTTTTAGTGTTTGGTAAATTTTGCTTATACATGTAAAATGACCAAAAAGGACGTTATCTTGTTTCATTTCCAAAGTGTCAAAACACACACAACAGTAACCAAAAACCCTAAATCGAGTTCCATCGTGAATCAGTAACCTCAAACCCTAAATTGTTCTTCCAAATCGAGTTCCATGGTTGAAGAAATCGAGTTCCATGGTTG